TAACATTTTCTTGTTTTTAAGAGTCAGTGTTCATTCCTTGGCCAACTTTTGTCTCCTAAGAGTTGCAAAAATTGGTGCTTAATAAAAACAAATATGCTTTGCTATGCAGCAGGCACTTCTGCTCTGCTCTGTCTGTAGGCTCTACTGACCAGCAAACAGATTCAGGATTGCCCAACCATGTGGTCCAGGTCTATGTCCCTGTGGACAATAATGCTAAGGTGGACCCAAGTTTAGTCAGCAGCAAAGAAAACTTTTCTGATCTCTCAGAAATGGGAAGGCCATTCTTCCTGGTGGCTTGGAAGTGTACCTTTTATTCCATCATTTAAAAATATTTGGGCAGGCATGGTGGCTCACACCTGTAATCCCAATATTTTGAGAGACCGAGGTAGAAGGATCACTTGAAGCCAGGAGTTCAAGACTAGCCTGGGCAACACAGCAAGACCTGTCTCTACAAAAAAATTAGCCGACTATGGTGGTGCACACCTGTAGTCCTAGCTACTCAGGAGGCTGAGGTGGGAGGATTGCTTGAGCCTGGAGGTCAAGGCTGCAGTGGGCTGTGATTGTGCCACCACACTCCAGCCTAGGTAACAGAGCGAGATTTTGTCTCAAAAAATAAGTAAAAATAATTAAAAAATATGTAAAAAATAAATAAAAATATTTATTGGGTGCCTTTTATGTGCTCCGTGCTGTGCTAAGCACCAGGTTATAACAATGAACAAGTTGGGCAAGATTTTTGCCTTTAAAGAGGTTCCATGCTGTCAGGGCTAATCAGACACTGAACAAGTAAACAAACACAGCACCTGCAGCCTGTTCTGTGGGTGCCACAAGGAAACAGAGACCCTTCCTTGAGGGGCAGAGTCCTCTTGCTCTAAGGTAGGATGCTATGGGTGATGTACATGAAGGGAAGAAATGGGTGGCATTTAATCTCTCGGCTCTGAGTGTGGCACATATGAGCATTGTTTAAAACAGAGGGGTCAGAAGTTCAGGCTCTGGAATCACACAGGATTTGCCTCTTGGTCCCTCTTCCTAGTCTTCTGCCTTTGGGAAAGTGAATCCCTATGCTTCGGTTTCTTCATCTGCAAAATGAGCCTAATGAAACCTATCTCATTGGTTTAGAGTAGAAATTAATTGAGGTAATAGATGCAAATAGAGGCTTAACACAGTCCTGACCATCATGGCCAGCCTCTGATGATAGTTAATATTATTCTAATCAGCAGTCATAACGATAATAAAATAGTCATGGTAGATAATTGATTTGACCAAATGGCCCCACCACTTTTGAAAATCTACTTGTGACCTGGTTTCCATCCAGTGGGCTGGCGCAGGAGCAGGTATGGGGCCAGATCTAGTCTCCTACGCTGGCTTAAAGGGTTCTGCCTTCTCTGTGTTTCCTTTAGCAATACCTTGGGTGCTGCTGGCTTACCCTGTATCTGGGTGTGTGTATAACACGTAGGGGAGTATGTCATATATAAAGCTTCATAGAGAAATCAGTGATGGGCTGAGAGTGAGATAAGACAAGATAAAACACTGCTTAGTTAAGAGGCTGGTGAATTAGATGATGGTCTAGAGGGGAGTTCAAACATTGGCTGAGGGATGGTTCTGAGTTTATGTTGTGTTAGGGTATCAGCCCTTGCCACCTCTCTCAGAGACTTCCAGTATGTATGGCTCCTCGGGTAGGGGCCGAATGCACAGCCAGAGATGGTGAAAGATCATTGTGGCCATCAGCTGGGCCAAACTATTAATTAACTGGTGAGTCAGCAGACCCAGAGAAGTGAAGTGACTTGCCCAAGGCCACAGGAACTGATGAGTCCAGACTTACCTTAAACCTGGCTTAGGCGCCGCGTCAAAGGTCTGAGAAGGCTGGAGGTCGTAGCTGTGATGGGGGTAGAATAAAGATCATAAACCTACGTCTTTGGCCTTCAAAGTGCTGGCTGACCTGGTGAATTAGTTGCCAACACTTGCAAATCCAGTGATTTCACATTTTTTAAAAATTTGATTTTTTGGCTTCTCTGGGAAAAAACAGATCTGGCAAAACTGGGCTTGAATATCCTAAGATGGCAAATCCAGGTTGGATTGAGTAGTGGCTGCCTCCTTTAGGCAGGATAAATGCTGGTAGTGAAACAAGCTTACTGTCCACACCTGCCTCACTCACTGACCTGGTCTCAGCCTGGCCCTTTTGCGATGCACAGTGAGAAAAAAAGAAAATAAACTGGTTCTTCGTGTCATCTACTTTTCCTACCAGTGTTTATTTGCTAGCCCATATTTTCCTGCACAGGGTCACTCCTAGTGTGGAATAAGTGCTGAAGCAATAAATTTGTGTCAAATGAATGAACTGTGATTGCTGGAGCCCAGCTTGGGACCAGAAGCTGAATCCTGAGTTCCTCCTAACTGCTAGGTGACTTTGAAGAAATCATATGACCTTTATTTTTTCTCTTCCTTTTGGGGAAAGGAGGTTAGAGGAGTCACTATTGTCTTTCTACTTACTTATTTGAAGAAGTAATGCATTTTCATGTTTCTGAATTCAAAAAGTCCAAAAGGGCTTACAGAGAAGGACTTCCCTACTGTGTCCCTGCTACCCAGCTCCTCGCCTGGGGGAAACCAGTGTTATCTGTTGCTGGTTTGCCCTTCCAGAGACATTTTATGCACAAGCAATGAAAAGTGTAAATGCTCTTTTTTATCTTTTTTACATAGATGGTAGCATAATATACACGTGGCTCTGTGTTTAACCTTTCTTTCATTCAAGGTCGGCTCTTTCTTAGAGCTGTGTCCTGTTCTAGTAAATGGGACACCATAGTTTACATATGGCCACTTTCCTGTTGGTGAGCACTCAGGTTATTTCCAACTCATTGCTGTTATAAAGAAGGCGGCGGCAAAAACTCATGTTACATAAGCCACTTGACATGACTTGAATACAATTCTTGGAAATAGAATTGCTGGGTCAGAGGGTATGGTCCTTGCCACTTTGGTAGATCTTGTCACATTTCCCTCCGCAGCAGTTAATTCAGACTGCTCTCCCTCCAGTGATGTGTATGAGTGCCTGTCTCCCCCAACCCCACCACCCATCAGCTTCTGAAGCCTAAGAGGGTTTTGTGAAGAAGGCAATGTTGTATATAAATACTAATACTCATTATAGCTTTTTGGGCCCCTACTCAGCGTCAAGCTATGATCTAGGTTATCTCATTTTCATCTTAGCAACATGTACATAAGCATTACAACCATTTGACAGACAAAGACACTGAAATTCAGAACATACGAGGAATGTAGGCAAGTCACCCAGCTAATAAGCTGTAGAGGCTGGATTTGAAGCCAAGTTAGTCAGATTTCAGTACCATGTTGTTTACACATGGTGAAGCCCATGTAATTTTTTTGTTTGTTTGTTTTTGAGACTAGGTTCACTCTTGTCACCCAGGCCGGAAAGCAATGGCACCATCTTGGCTCACTGCAATTTCTGCCTCCCGGGTTCAAGCAATTCTCCTGCCTCAGCCTCCTGAGTAGCTGGGATTACAGGCATCTGCCACCACATCTGGCTAATTTTTGTATTTTTAGTAGAGACGGGGTTTCGTCATGTTGGCCAGGCTGATCTCGAACTCCTGACGTCAGATGATCCACCCTCCTTGGTCTCCCAAAACGCCCATGCAATTTTAAATGTTGGTGTTCTGAGCCGACACCTGCTTATGATTCCTGTATCTCAGCAATGATGCCTCACACACAGGCGGCTCATTTACTCATTCACATAATATCTATGGAATTCCTGTTTCACTCAGCCCTGTGCTAAGCCCTGAGGATGTACCTGAGAACATGACATAGTGCCTGCCCTTATGGACCTCACGAAGCCATAACAAATAGTTCTGTAGTTATTTATTCAGACAGATTATGACAAGACTACAAAGGAGGTGGGGAGGGTGCTCTCTGGGGTAATGGAAACTAATCGGGGTAAGGAGAAAGGAGGATGGATCTGAACAAGTGAAGGTGGGCTATAAAAGGGGTGCAGGTTCGAATCTGGACAATTGGATGGGAAATATTTCACATAGAAGCCACAGCACACGGAACAATCCTGGGGCGGGGCAGAGCAGGTGCAGGTGGAAGACATGAAGGAATGCCAGCGAGGGGAACTGCAGAGTGGTGAGAAGTGAGGCTGCCAGGATGGAGTTTGTGAATTTATTCTAAGACTTGTGGGGACCATCTGAAGGCATTGCAGCAAAAAGTGACATACCGTTGTGGGCTATGGACTGTTGGGTTCTAGTCCCAGCATCCTTTCTCATAAGCTGTGTGACCTTAGACAAGTTAAACACTCAGCTCCTCCATTTGCTTCTCTGTAAGCTGGGGCCGGTAATAGCATGTACCTCCTGGTGCATGTCAGGTCAGACACAGATGCTTCCAAACAAGCAGGTGCTTTCATGTAGTTTCGAGCGCCATATGATGTATGAAATACATGATGCATTTTAATCCAGTAAACATGAATACATTTGTTTTCCCCAAATGTGATGCATTCTGATATTTTCTGTTCTATTTCACTAAAAGCCAAGGCCCTCTAAGCTCATTTTTAAAATTCTGAGATAATACATGTTAACGGCCTGCCACACAGTTGGCAGTCAGTAAATGGTGCTATCATGATCATCAAGCTTGTCATTAGAAAGACCATCTGACTGCAATGAGAGAATGGCTCAGTTGAGTTGGACTGATCATTATCTAAATCCTGGTGGTGTGGAAGGACACTGGGTCATTCCTGTGTTCATGGCCCAGGGAAGGATTTGCATGCTGGGCTTTCTGACTGCAGAAGCTTCTGAGGGTTATGTGTAAAAGAGGCCATCTCTCTTGTTTCCCTGGGAACTAGTGTCTCCTCGTTTTCCAGGCAGTCACATCAGATGGCATGGCTGTTTTCTTCGACTTCTTCGTTATTTACACTCAGAATGGCTTTTTCCTGGAAGCCTCAGAGTTATTATAAGCCACCCACTTCTTTATTTTAAGTTGTTGGGCCATGATTCTACTTCCCTTTTCAGAGTCAAAGGTTGGAGCCCTAGTGGAATTCATTTGCATTTTCCACTAAGTGGAGCATCCTCCTCTACCCACGGCCCCAGCAGGCAGGGCTGTGCCCCATCTCCATGCCCTGGCTGTGGCAGCTGTGAGAAGAAACTGAGATGACACATCCTTTTTCTCCAAGAAACACACCATGGAAGTTTTTGAAGAAACCCATGTGAGGTGAGTGTTAACAAGACCAGTGATACCTTCCAGTAACCCTGTCACCACCTCCGAATCTCCTGGACCCAGGGCCTGGGCTTTCCAGATAACTGAAGTGAATCTTTTCAGCATCAAAACTTTTAAGTTGCTTTTGAAAGGAATTTTTCTAAATGCAAATGACATTGGTCCTTCAGAAAGAAATATGGACCAAAATTCTAGTTTCTCTAACTCAGAAACATTGGATATAGAACATTTCTTTTAATTTTTAATTTTTGTGAGTACTTAGTGTTTGTATTTATGGGGCACATGAGATATTTTGATACAGCCATTCAATGCGTAATAATCACATCAGGGTAAGTGGGGTATCCATCACTTCAATTCTTTGTGTTACAAACATTCCAATTATACTCTCAGTTATTTTAAAATAGAGTTGACTATAGTCACCCTATTGTGCTGTCACATACAAGGTCTTGTTAATTTTATCTAACTATATTTTTGTACTCATTTGACATTCCCCCTCCCTCCCACCACCACTACCCCTTCCCAGTCTCTAGTAACCATTATTTTCCTATCTCCATGAGTTCAATCATTTTAATTGCTACCACAAGTAAAGGAGAACATGTGAAGTTTGTCGTTCTGTGCCTGGCTTATTTCACTTAACATAATGATATCCAGTTCCATCCTTGTTGATGCAAATAACAGGATCTCATTCTTTTTTTATGGATGAATAATACTCCATTGTGTATATATACCACATTTTCTTTAACCATTCATCTTGTTGATGGACACTTAGATTGCAGAGAGATCTTGGCTATTGTGAATAGTGCTTCAGTAAACATGGGATTGCAGAAATCTCTTTCGTATTCTGATTTCCTTTATTTTGGGTATGTAATCAGCAGTGAGATTGCTGAATCATATGGTAGCTCTATTTTTTCTTTTTTGAGGAACCGCCAAACTGTTCTCTATAGTGGTTGCACTAATTTACATTCCCACCAACAGTATATGAAGGCTTCCTTTTCTTCACATCCTCACCAGCATTTGCTGTTGCCTGTCTTTTGTATAAAAGCCATTTTAATTGGGGTGAGATGATATGTCATTGTAGTTTTGATTTGCATTTCTCTGATGATCAATGATGTATTAGTCCATTTTCACACTGCTGTAAAGAACTACCTGAGACTGGGTAATTTATAAAGAAAAGGGTTTTAATTGACTCACAGTTCTTCATGGCTATGGAAGCCTCAGGAAACTTACAATTATGGTGGAAGATAAAGGGGAAGCATGGTGGGCAGAAGAGAGAGAGAGCGATGGGGGAATCGCCACACTCTGATGATCTAAAACCATCAGATCTCGTGAGAACTCACTCACTTTCATGAGAACAGCATGGAGGAAGCTGCCCCATGATCCAATCACCTCCCACCAGTTTGCTCTCCTGACACATGGGGATTATAATTCTTTTTTAAATTATTTATTATTTATTTATTTAGTTAGTTAGTTTTTAAGAGACAGGGTCTCGCTATGTTGCCCAGGCTGGAGTGCAGTGGCTATTCACAGGTGCGATCCCACTACTGATCAGCATGGGAGTTTTGACCTGCTCCGTTTCCAACCTGGGCCAGTTCACCCCTCCTTAGGCAACCTGGTGGTCCCCCACTCCTGGAAGGTCACCATATTGATGCCGAACTTAGTGCGGACACCCAATTGGCATAATGCACTATAGCCCAGAACTCCTGGGCTCAAGCAATCCTCCCACCTCAGCCTCCTGAGTAGCTGGGACTACAGGCATGTGCCACTGCGCCAGGCAGGGATTATAAATCAACATGAGATTTGGGTGGAGACACAGAATGAAACCACATCAAATGATGTTGCACATCTTTTCATATACCTGTTTGCCATTTATAGGTCTTCTTTTGAGAAATGCCTATTCAGATATTTTGCCCATTTTCAAATCAGATTATTATATTTCCTTCCTAAAGCATTGTTTGAGCTTATATGTTCTGGTTATTAATTCCTTATCAGAAGGATAGTTTGCAAATATTTTCTCCCATTCTATGGATTGTCTCTTCACTTTGTTGATTTGTATCTTCTGCTGTACAGAAACTTTTTAACTCAATGCGATCTAATTTGCTCATTTTTGCTTTGGTTTCCTGGGCTTGAGGTGTATTACTCAAGAAATCTTTGCCCAGTCCAATGTCCTGGAGAGTTTCCCTAATGCTTTCTTTTAGTAGTTTCATAGTATACGGTCTTAGGTTTAAGTCTTCAACCTATTTTGATTTGATTTTTATATATAAGACAGAGGTCTAGTTTCATGCTTCTGCATATGAATATCCAGTTTTCCCAGCACCATTTATTGAAGAAGCTATCCTTTCCTCAATGTATGTTCTTGGCACCTTGGTCAAAAATGAGTTCACTATAAATGTATGGATTTGTTTCTGGGTTCTCTATTCTTCTCCATTAGTCTGTATGTCTGTTTTTACGCCAGTACCATGCTGTTTTAGTTACTACAGCTCTGTAGTATAACTTGAAGTTAGGTAATGTGATTCCTCCAGTTTTGTTCTTTTTGCTCTGGAAGACTTTGCCTATTCTGGGTCTTTTGTGCTTCCATATAAATTTTAGAATTTTTTTTTCCATTTCTGTGAAGAATGTCATTAGTGTTTTGGTTGTGGTGCATTCAATCTATAGATTGCCTTAGATAGTACAGACATTTTAACAATATTGATTCTTTCATTCCGTGAACGTGGAATGTCTTTCCATTTTTGCATGTGTGTCCTAGAAGAGGCAATTTGGACATAAAGAGAAACATCAAGGGCATGAGTACACAGAGAAAAGATCATGTGAGGGCATGGCTACGAGGCAACCATCTGTAAATCAAGGAGAGAAACCTCAAAAGAAATCAATCCTGTTGACACTTTGATCTTGGACTTCTAGCCTCCAGAACTGTAAGAAAATAAATTAATTTCTGTTGTGTAAGCCATGCAGGGTGTTTTGTTTTGCTTTGTTTTGTAGTAGTTTGAACAGGCTAATACAGGGGTATTAGTAATGGAGGCCATAAAAGAAACCATAGGTAGCATTTATCAAGCACTTACTGTGTTCAAGGAGTATTCTAAACCCTACTTGAGTCATCTCATCCAATTGCTTGCAAATCCTAAATTACCTGCTCAATGCCCTACAGGAAGTGATGACACCAGCCTGATTCAGGTGCCTTTTCTCTCAACCTCCACTGCACCTGTGTCTAGCACCTGTACAGTTCCAGGAACCATGCAAAGTACTTCATAGAAAATCTTTCTAGTCATTACAACTCTCCAAGGTAACTCTTCTATTCCCATTTTTCAGATGTAGAAGCTGCGGCTCAGAGGTGTCCATGGTCACACAGTGAGTTTATTAGTTTCTTGCGGCTGCTATAACAAATGACCACAGCTTTCACGGCTTCAAACACCAGAAATTTATTCTGTCACGGTCCTAGAGGCTAAAGTGCAGAATTAAGGTGGAGCAGGGCTGTACTCCCTCTAGGGAAGAATCTGTTTCTTTTCTCGTCAGCTCCCGTGGCTGCATCACTCCGGTCTCTGCCTCTGTCTTCACAACACCTTCTTCTCTACGTGTGTCTGTGTCTTCTGTGTAAGGCCGGTTGCCTCGTCGGGACACGCCCACCTCTGCACTTGGCACCTAGCTCCGCCGCATGGCTCCCCTGGAAGGCTCCAGCTGATGCAAGGCTCCTCGCCGGTTCTCCCACCGGAAAACCCGCCCCGTCTCCATCCCGCTCCCCTGGAGTCAATCAGAGCACCCAGCTGTTGCTTGCTCCTCCTAGCCATAAAAACCCCACGCCCCAGGAAGTTGGTGCGACTTCCCTGGCCCCTTTCCTCGGGACCGTGGAACCTCGCCCAGGAGCTAAATAAATTGGCATTTCATTTTCTTATACTGGCCTCAGTTTCCTCATTTTAAACTCGGCAATAACCCTTACATTCTCCTCTTCCGTCTCTAGTACCTTGTGCATCACCTTTGTAAGGACACGTGTGATTTCATTTATGGCCCACCTGGATAATCCAGGACCAGCTTCTCTTCTCAAGATTCTTACCTGAATCTCCTCTTTTGCCATATAAGGTAATATTCACAGGTTTTGGTGACAAGTGAATGTATCTTTGTGGAGGGTGGGGAGATGTTTTTCTGCCTACCACAGTGAGGGAATGGCAGAGTGATCACTGATTTTAGGGTTTATCTTCCCCCCAAGCCCCAAGTGATAGACACCTGTGGCTGTACATCCTTCAGAGCTATAAACATTACGCTTCACAATATCTTTTCTGCAATGCTATTTCTAGGCTGTGGTGCGGGTGGTTGTTAGAGTGATAACTAAGAATTTTTTGGCCTTTTGATTCAGAAGTTCCTCTGATGAGAAGGCACCCTTGTAGGGTCATGGTCATGTTGTCCCTAAGACCCACAGATATGCTCATTCTTTACAGCAACCAGAAAAGGGGAAACTCCTTAAATATTTACCCATAGGGGATTGGTTAAATAAAATGTAATACCTCCTAAATGGAATAGTCAAGCTATATTAACATAATAAAGTAGATCAATATGCAGTGATGTGGGAAGATGGCCATGACGTATTATTAAAAGGGAAGAGGGCCAGGCACAGTGGCTCACACTTGTAATCCCAACACTTTGGGAGGCCGAGATGGGTGGATTATGACTTCAGGAGTTCAAGACCAGCCTGACCAAGGTGTTGAAACCCTGTCTCTACTAAAAATACAAAAATTAGCTGGGCGTGGTGGTGCATGTCTGTAATCGCAGCTACAAAAGAGGCTGAGGCAGGAGAATCACTTGAACCTGGAAGGTGGAGGTTGCAGTGAGCCAAGATCATACCACTGTGCTCCAGCCTGGGTGACAGAGCGAGACTCCGTCTCAAAAAAAAAAAAAAGTAAGAAAAACATTACTCATTCTTATTAGAATATTAATTAGAATGTGTATGTGCACGTGTATACAGCTATTAAAAATTAAATAAAATTAAAATTGAGTTCCTCAGTTGCACTAGCCACATTTCAAGTTCTCAGTAGCCATATATGGCTAGTGGCTACCATATTGGACAGCACAAATATAGAATATTTCTGTCATCTCAAAGTTCTGCATGATAGATCTGCTCTATGCTAAGTGGCTAGAAAGAGGCCTTTCACTTTGTATGTTATAGAATTATGTGAATGCTTATATACCAAGTATGCTATTATCAGAAAAATAGGGCACATAGAGTTTCCAAGGTAACCTTCTATTTCTTAAGTAGGTACTAGTTTATTATCATTACTTACTAGTTTTTTAAAATAGAAGCAGGGTTTTGCTCTGTTGCCCAGGGTGGAATGCAGTGACATGATCAGAGCTCACTGTAACCTCAAACTCCTGGACTCAAGTGATCCTCCTGCCTTAACCTCTTGAGTAGCTAAGAATATGGGCAAACGCTACCGTGCCTGAATAATTTATTTTTCTTTTTTGTAGAGACAGGGTCTCACTACATTGCCCAGGCTGGTCTCGACCTCCTGGACTCAAGCAATCATCCTGCCTCAGCCTCCCAAAGTGCTGGGATTATAGGAGTGAGCCACTGTGCCTGGCTTATTATTATTTAAAATGTGTGTGTATGAACTTTTAAAGTATGTTTCATAATGAAAATGTTTTGAAATTATATAGGGAAAAAGGAATCTCCTGGCAGGCACAACAGTGAGCCAGGCGTGAGGCTGGGAGGCTTCCAGCTGGGGCTGGGTCCCTCACCTGACAGCTTTCTAGCTTTGGCCAAGTCAGGCACCTGCTCAGGCCTCAGTTTCCTAATTTGTGACAGACTGTCTGCTCCACCTGCCTTACAGGACTGAGGTAAGACTTAGAACCACAACCATGTGTGGAAAAACACTTTCAAACTAAGGAATTGCTACACAGAGGTGAAGGGTCAGTAAATAACATCATGAGTTATCAAAGACCTAAGGAGGCAAGCGTGAGTGCCCTGTGACCAGGATGTGGGCTCCGTGCCTGCTCCTCAGTGGAGTATTTCCGATGCTACTGAGGTCACCAGAAGCAGAGGGGGCTGTCGTTGTATCCCCACTGCTATCATGGCTTGGCAATTTAGAAACAACTACCACAATGTGATTTTATTTATTTAACGAGCTCTTACGTAGCACTTATTTGTCAGGTACGCTTTTGAGTGCTTGACAAATATTTACTCATTTAATCCTCCTCCAACCCTGAGGTAGTCACTCAGGGTTATTTCATGTGGGAGGAATTTAAGGCTCAGAGAGGTCAAGTAACTTGATCAAGGCCACACAGCTAGTAGGGAGTATGTATCTAACTAAGGCAGCTGTGCTTTCTCCTTCCATCCTTTCTCACCATCCTCTTGCCCCATGAAATGTGGTCACAGAGCTCCTCATGCCAGTTTATTTATCTCAGGGGCATGAGATTAAACTTTTGATAAGAAATTTAGTTCCTAAGTTGGTAGCTTCAATTCTGGTTTTCTGGCTGAGTTTGGTAGCATGGAAAAGCAGGAATGGGCTGGGAATGAGGCACCAGTCCCTCATTAGCTGTGTGACTTTGGGTAGGTTACTTAACTTCTCTGTTGTTCAAGTGGTATTTTGTGAGAGTTGAGTAAGTTTATGTATTGTGACAATGCCTGGGTTCATGTCAGCCAGGTAGCCAATGCCTCCTTTTTTTTTTTTTTTTTTTTTTGAGAGAGAGAGAGAAGCCTCACTCTGTCACCCAGGCTGGAGTGCAGTGGTGTGATCTCAGTTTACTGCAATTCCTGCCTCTTGGGTTCAAGCAATTCCTCTGCCTCAGCCTCATGAGTAGGTGGGACTACAGGCATGCACCACTATGCCCGGCTAATTTTTGTACGTTTAGTAGAGACAGGGTTTTGCCATGTTGGCCAGTCTGTTCTTGAACTCCTGACCTCAGGTGATCCGCCTGCCTCGGCTTCTCAAAGTGCTGGGATTACAGGCATGAGCCACTGCACCCAGCCTAGCCGATGCCTTCTTAATTCTCATCTTTTCCTTCAACCAGTGAGTTTAGACTTGAGAATACAGAGGTGAATAAAGCCCAATGCCTGTCTTCAGGTTTGCAGAATGGCCTAGGTGGGAGCTGGGGAACACGGTCAATCAGGCGTCGAAGGACAGCTCTCACCAGTCCTGCCTCTCTTCTTGCCTTGAGGACCTTGGAAGAGTTTCTTTGCTTCTTTGTTGTACCTTTGCCACTTGTAAATGGGGCCTGGATTGTCCCCACTCCAAGGCCCCGTCTGTTCTGTCATTTTCTGACTTGTCACATTTAGGTCAGGACAGGCCTGTGTCTGCGGGGTCAGGGCTGTAGCAGGTGAACCCACGGTGTATCAGCGTTTCCCTTTAGGCCACTCTTGTCAATGCTCCTAACAGCCTCCTCCTTCCTCCCTGTGGTACTCTGGGGAGGTCTCTTGGCTCTGCCCCAAAGTAGGAATGGTGGAGACAAAGACAGCTTCACATTCTCTTCACCTGTAAGGACTGAGAGTGGCGGATTTGGGAGGAGAAAAATGAGTCAGTGGCAACTCGTGTGTGACTCTGCAGTTTATCTGAGGCTGCCAGAGCCACAGTCATAGTTTTTGGCTGAAAATAACCCTCATTTAAGAACGGTTGCCCAGGTACTTTGCTGGACTAGGAGGCCTGGGGACACTAACTGAGAAGTCAAGGGGGACAGGAGCCAGCCTGTCATCCTCAGTGTCTCACAGCCTCCTGGAGAAGTGGGTGTTTTGGCAGGAAGGTGGTGGGTAAACACCTGAAACGACCCATTCTGTTCTCTTTTCTACTTCCTCGTACCAGTGCCATGGAATGAAGGGCAGCTCCATTACCTCAAGTTTAAGATCCTCATAAAGGGAGTTAATATCCTGTAATTACACAGGTGAATTGCACTTAGCAGGCCCATTTGAAGAAGGGCAGTGAAATGGATCCTGTCTTAGTAGTGTGACCTTTACTGGGCAAGTTAAACCCCCAAAGCTAGCCAGTTTAAGGATGCGGAAGGACCTTCTGTAGCTTTATTTCTTCTTCACCTCATTTATTGATTTGTGTAGATCTTTCAAAGTTGCAGTGGCATTTATGAAGCTGCCGAGGCCTTCTGAAGCTTAACAGGCCTGTTGATAAAGTTTAACAAAACTTAAAATTCTGAGCATGGGGTGAGCAGCAAAGACCATACAAGAAAACAGGACATAAGTCTGCTTTCCATTAAAAAAAAAAAAAAAGATAAAAAAACGTTAAGTCAGGCACAGTGGGTCACGCCTGTAATACCAGCACTTTGGGGGGCTGAGGTGGGTGGATCACAAGGTCAGGAGTTCAAGATCAGCCTGGCCAAGATGGTGAAACCCCATCTCTACTAAAAAAAAAATACAAAAATTATCCAGGCGTGATGGCAGGCGCCTGTAATCCCAACTACGTGCTGTTTCCTTCTGTCCTTCACTCTCGTGAATTCTCTAAAACTCACTTTTTAAGTCATTCATTTAGACTTCAGAGTCACTAAAAACTAAGAGACTGAAATTACAGGTCCAAAAGGAGGCTGAGGCAAGGGAATTGCTTGAACCTGGGAGGTGGAGGTTGCAGTGAGCCAAGATCGTGCCACTGCACTCCAGCCTGGGTGACAGAGCAAAACTCTGTCTCAAAAAAAAAAAAAAAAAAAAAAAAAAGAAAGAAAGAAAATGTTAAGAGACAGGACAAGCCATTTCTTTTCCACCTCTTTGTATTACAAGTTCCTTGTTGTTCCTGTGCCTGTTGCCTGCAGACTGCTGCTGATACCTCCCGTGCCCTCTCGGTGGCTTACCTCTGTGCCCATCTGAGTGGCCTAACTCACTCTTCTGACCACAGCAGCATGTCTGATTCGGAAGTGAGACTTCAGTTCCCCCTTCTTCAAATGCTAACCAGCTGGAGCTGCAAAACGTTCTCCCCTGGCAGCCTGAAGGTTGACTTAAGGCTAGAATATCTTTTTCTTGCCTCATTAGTTTTTGGGACATAACAGAGTTAGCTGGTAAGAGATGGCAGTGAAAATACTTCCAGACTAAACCTAGTAAACCCCCAAGTAAAAAGTGGCTGTGAGATTCATGGTGTTTCCTTCTGTCCTTCACTCTGCTGAATTCTCTAAAACTCACTTTTTAAGTCATTCATTCAGACTTCAGAGTCACTAAAGACTTAGAGACTGAAATTATGGGTCCAAAGGTACTGAGGAAAGACAGAAATTCATCTGAATGGAAATAGCCAGTCCTTGAGGCCCTTGGCTCTGCCATGCTACCGGGCATGTCACTTGGTCTCATTTCGTCTCTCACCAGTCCTGGAAAATGGGCATTAGTAACAGCTGAGGACTTTAGACTCAGCGTGTCCAAAGTCATACAACTTGGGAGTGGCCAAGTTCAGACTCAAACCTGCAGCCACTGCCTTTAACCATGAAGCCATGAAGTCTTCCCAAGAACTGCTACAACGGGACAGTGTTCTTGAACCTAACCCTGCAGGGTTAGTAGGTTTAAATAAGCAGAGAGGAAAAGGAAGAGAATTCTGGGCAGGAGGAGCAGTTGGTACGAGCAAAAGCGTGGGGGAAGGACTATGCATGGCACACAGCAGTGCCTGCTGGTTGCAAGCTCCATGGAGCAGGGCACCATGGCCTCTGGAGCCATCTTATATCTCCCAGTGCCTGTGCATAGTAGCTGCTCAATAAATATTTATCGCATGAGTGAATACTTGAAAAGACAGTTATCTTCTCCATAGACTGAATCCCCTGAAGTCAGGTATTTGGTCTTAGAAATCTTTGGATGTTCTACAAGTCACAGTGGTTATTAAACAGCAAACACTCAATGAGTGTGTCCTGATAAAATGAGGGAAGGAACAGGTAAGGGAGGGTGAGATTTGCCTGAGTGACGAGACACTGATACTTTGAGGAAAACTGAGCAATATGCGTAGACTGCCATGGTAAGGGTGTATCATGGAAGGTCATCAATGCCAGGATGAGGAGATCTTGTGTCCTCCTTGAGACATTTTTTAAAAATCCACCTCTTACTGCACAACATCATGGACCACAGGACCCAGGCGGTGCCCCCACTGATGGGTGCATATTGGAACCAGGGTCTAGCACTGCTTAGAAATCATTTTTCTGCCTTAGCCTGGCCCCATTGTCACTGTCTTCCCATTTGAGGGTGGCCACACTGTTACAACCAAAAAGAGACCGGTATAAACTTGTGAATGGGAACCTTCTAGATCCCGCCATTGTTTTGTGGGTAGTTAGGCTGGAAAGTCCCAGCCAGCTTCCTGTAATAGGTGTTCTCAGGCCAGGAGTTCTCAATAAAAGCTGCCCTCTCTTTTCAGGTGTTGGCTACCTTTGTGGTTTTAAGAAAACCTGAGAGCGTGAAGGTAGCCCCAGGAGAAGCCCTTTCCGAGGGCATTCGGAACCTTCCCATCCTAGAGGTGAAGCTGAACTGCCACCAGGACTTATGACCCGTGGCTTCGCTCCCATTCTGCCCATCGAGTTCCACAAGATGGGCTCCTTCCGCAGGCCTAGACCGCGCTTCATGAGCTCCCCCGTGCTCAGCGACCTTCCCCGATTCCAAGCAACTCGGCAGACTCTGCAGCTGAGCTCCAGCTCAGCCTGGAACAGGTGAAGGAGGCCGCAGGGTGTGGGGTGGAGGGTTGCCAAGGGCCACAGCAGGGAGGGAGGCACCTGGGGGCTGACTGAGCTGCTGCTGATTCTGGGAAGGTTGTGATTATGGAAGTAAATGATGGGGAAAGCAAGTTTTCTCTTTTTTTCCTTTTTGTAGAGACAGGGTCTTACTCTGTCACCCAGGCTGGAGTGCAGTGGTGCAATTATAGTTCACTGCAGCCTCAAACTTTTGGGCTCAAGTGATCCTCCTGCCTCAGCCTCCCGAGTTGTTGGGACTACAGGTGCATGCCACCACGTCCTGCTAATTCAAAAAGAAAATTTTTTTAAGAGATGGGGTCTTGCTCTATATACTGCCCAGGCTGGCCTTGAACTCCTGGCCTTAAGAAATCACTCCCACCTCAGTCTTCCAAAGTGCTGGGATTATAGGTGTGAGCTACTGTACCTGGCCAAGAAAGCAAGTTTTTTTTTTTTCTTTTTCTATTTTAGACCCAGTCTTATTCTGTCTCCCAGGCTGGAGTGCAGTGGCACAATCTCGGCTTGCTGCAACCTCTGCTTCCCAGGTTCAAGCGATTCTCCTGCTTCAGCCTCCTGAATAGCTGGGAGCACAGGTGGCCACCACCACGCCCGGCTAATTTGTTATATTTTTGGTAGAGACGGGGTTTCACTGTGTTAGCCAGGATGGTCTCTATCTCCTGACCTCATGATCCACCTGCCTCGGCCTCCCAAAGTGTTGGGATTACAGATGTGAGCCACCACACCTGAACAAGAACAAGTTTTTTTTGTTTTTTTTTTTTACTTCCAGGTGTCTGTTAGCTTTCTTTGTTTTAGTAGCCAGAAAATAGACCACTGAGAGCCTCTGGCCTGTCAGAGTCAGTTTACCAGACTGGGACAGTTGCACTGGAATTTATAGTCACTATTCATGCTCATTAGTCACACCTGAAACTGTCAGAGTATTCGAGGGTGGGCTTATATAAATAATCTTAAGTAATCTACTTCCCATTTGGGAAGATAAAACATGTCTGTGAAAAATAAGAGGCATAAACCAAAGATTATGAAGACCTGTGAGCCACAGGTGCTCGGAAGAGGCGACACAGAGTTTTGTTAGGTGTCTAGCCAACCTCTTGAGCACCAAGAGTTGAGCAGACTGAATCAGCACTATGTCTTACATGCTTATGGGCTACTGTTTTTCAAATCTTTGCAGATACTGTTTGGAGAAATTAAATGCATCATTACTTTGAAGCATGATTGACTTCTTTGTAGTTTGGGTCATTATGGATATTTTCTTTCCTTTTTTTTTCTTTTTGAGACAGAGTCTTGCCCTGTTGCCCAGGCTGGAGTGCAGTGGTGCCATCTTGGCGCCATTTTCCCGTATAAGTGTGGCTCACTGCAACCTCTGCCTCCTGGGTTCAAGCAATTCTCCTGCCTCAGCCTCCTGAGTAGCTGGGTTTACAGGTGTGCGCCACCATGCCTGACTAATTTTGTATTTTTAGTAGAGATGGGGTTTCACCATGTTGGCCAGGCTGATCTTGAGCCCCTGACTTCAGGTGATCCACCTACCTCAGCCTTCCAAAGTACTGGGATTACAGGTATGAGACACCGTGCCTGGACCATTGTGGATATCTTTAATGAATGGACCCAGAAAGCACGACTCTGATACGGGTGGGGAGAGGGGGCTCCAAAATGTTTTGGTCTTAAATGGATCCCTGTTCTTTAAAGAAAAGGGGGAGGCTGAGGCAGGAGAATTGCTTGAACCTGGGAGGCGGAGGTTGCAGTGAGCCGAGATCGTGCCATTGCACTCCAGCCTGAGCGACAAGAGCAAAACTCTGTCTCAAAGAAACAAAAAAGAAAAGGCCAGGGCCCTTGATAGAGACAAGATGTCAAGCAGCTCCTTTGCTGAAACACTGGGCTGTGGTCCCAGAGGCTGTGGAGTAAGTCCTGACTAACTCTGCTACCGTATACCTCATAGGAGTGGAAATACAAGGGCCCTGTAAGGCTGGCCTGCTGGAAATTCTTCCAAGGAAAGTGCTATTAAAAAGGCAAGGAATTACCGGTTCATGTTAGCTCAAGGCCACCAAGCTTCCCTTGAAGACAGTGGCCGTGAAAGAACCCCAGGCACGGGTCAGCTTCTGCTTGCAGGAAACGCCATTTGGAATCTCCCAGGCCCACGTGGTTTCCTGCGATCAGATCCCACTGCCTGCCCTTCACTGTGGCTGCACCCGCAGCGCAGCCAGCAAGGTGAGGGAGGAAGACCTGCTGGCTTGCAAGAAAACGGGGGCTGCTTTTGAGTTCTTTCGGCTTTGGTCTTCTTTCTCTCCAAGGACGCTGAGGAGGAAACGGAGGATGGATGGAGAGTGTGGCCAGGTTTGTGCCATGAGCTTCCTGGTCACTCCACCCACCTTCAGCCCTGAGCTGCTCATTGAAATGGCCCTAGAAGGGAGATTCTCTAACCGGGGGTTATTCTCTTTTCCTGTAGCGTTCAGACTGCTGTGATCAACGTTTTCAAAGGGGGTGGCTTGCAAAGCAACGAGCTCTATGCCCTGAACGAAAACATCAGGTATGTGGCAGGCCAGACTTGGTGCCATTTTCCCCTATAAGTCTGAGCAGGGACAAAGGGGCTACCCACTTAGGAGACTTACGGTTCTTTTTTCCTGCTTGGTTCTTATGGTTCTTATTGCTGCTTCTGTCAGCTATGCGACTTTCATGGCCGTTGAGTTCTGAGACCTATATCTGCCTAGACTTCTGATCCAGAGAGAATTGTTTGTTCAGTACATAGTGTGTTTTGTGGGGGAAGGGAAAGGGTTGATAGATGGCAGCTGTCATTTATTCTGTAAGCATTTATTGTTCCCTTCCTAACCATTAGGCACCGTAATAGGCAATTTGGCTTAGTGGTTGGAACCAGACTGCTTGGGGTTCTATTGCTGTTCTTCCTCTTACTGAGTGACTTACCGGCAAATATTTGAGTGCCTCTTCGTTGGCCAGGCACTGGAGAGGCAACAAGGACCAAAGACAGACACAGACCCTGCCCTCATGTGATTTATATTCACTGGGAAGAGAATCATTAGTCAACTAGCCACACGTGTGAAATGCAAACGTGTAACTAAGACAGCTACTCCAACACAGCTGACATGATAAAAGCATGTTAGAATGACTTGATTTTTGCCATGGAAGCCAGGAATGGTGTATGTGATGCTGCTGCTGTGATCTGAAACATCCATGGGAGTTACCTAGGTGAAGAGGGCTCCAGTTGGTAGAAACTGCACATGCAAAGTTCCTGTGGTTGCAACGAGCAAGTAACCAAAAGAAGACCCATCCACGTGCGTAGAGCACCAGAGGTTGGATAGTTGTGCCGTCAGGTCTGTGTTTTGGTGAAATGAGAGCAGAAAGTCAGGCAGGGCTCATTGCCCCAGAATCTCCTAGGGATAGGAGATCGATCCATCAGGTCTTTTAATGCCCTGGCATTCATATGTTTCTGGATATGTTAAGTGCAGAACATCAAGGCTAAAGACCCAACCCTGGAGTGGGCAGAACAATAAACAAGTCCATTGTTCTGGTCCTGTTTACAGTGAGTTAAGGCCTGCTTTAAGGTCAGGGAGGTGTTTGAAGAGCTCTACTTTCATTAAAGTCTTTAGAATTGTGTTAAATTTACACCCATGTTCTTGAGTTTCACATCATACTTACATAAATATGGAAAAAGACAAAAGATGTCTAGCCCAAGGCCTCATTTTACAAAGGAGGAAACTGAGGCCCCAAGAAGTTGAGTGATGGGGGCGAAGCTGGGTCAGGCAACCCCCAAGTTGCAAAGCTTCATTTTTCTCCAAGAACTAAAATTCTGGCCTTTCCATGAGGTTCTTTAGTTCACAATAGAAGTATAAATAAATAAAACAGTGACTCAGGAATGTGCTAATTGTTCTTCACTTTGGGAGGCTGATCCTGAAATTGTACTTAAAGCTCTGTTTGTGGACAGCTGGGAGAGGTACAGGCCAAGCCAGATTTCACCAGCCCAAGTAGCCCAGGGACTGCTAACTCAAAAGCCTTCAGTCACCAAGCAGGTCTTCTGAGTGGGTGAAGCTGGCGTGGGTGCCTGGCAGTGAGATCTTGCCCTCTGTCGAAAGAGGATTACCCTGGCAGAACACAGGGCTGCTGATACAACTCTTATTTTCCAAGAACTGGAAATTGGGATTATTATGTGAAATGTTCTGACTTTTAAATGTTGGTAAATAATCCAGACTTCACCAAACATTGGTGCAGGCCAAACAAAACACATCTGTGGATTGAATATGGCCAAGAAGTTACCCTTTTCTAACACCAGCCATTGCATGCATCAGGGAGGCAGCGACGCTTCGGGGTGTTAAGTTGCGGAAAACACTAGGCGCCTTCCTCCTACATCAACACGTTCAACCCTCCCCACAGCACTTGTTATGAGGATATGACAAAGAAGAAAATCATACATAAGAGAAACTAAATAGCTTGTCCAAAGTCACACAGCAGTGAGCAGTGGCATCAGGATTTGAACTCCTTTCTGACTTAGATACCTGTATTAGTCTGCTTGGGCTGCCATAACAAATACCATAGACTGGATGACTTAAACAACAAAAATTTATTTCTCGATGTTCTGGAGGCTGGGAAGTCCAAGATGAAGGTGCCGATCATTCCTGTTCCTGGTGATGGCCCTCTTCCTGTTTTGCAGGTGGCCACAGTCTCACTGTGTGTACACATGACCTCTTTGCATTCGATGGGGAGAGAGAGAGCTGTCTGATGTCCCTCATAAGAACACTAATCATGTGGGCCCTATCCTCATGATCTCATCTGACCCCAAGTATCTCTCAAAGGCCCATCTCCAAATCCCATCAAATTGCGGGGGGCGGGGTGGTAGTTAAAGCTTTGACATATAAATTTTTGGGGGATGCATAGCCATACCTTTGTTCTTTGCACTAGATTGTAGTGTCAGAAAGAGATGTCTTATGTTCGGAGAAGGATTAAGCTGATGGTTCCCGATCTTTTTTTCTGCCATCATTACTTTCTTAAGGTTTCTGGGAGCACACCTCTTATCACGTCCTGTGACTAACACCCCTCCTGTGGAGCATGACACTCCCCCAGCCCTCCTTTCCAGTGCTGGCGTTAGGACGGCTAGATGTTCCTCTGTCTTGAGTGATTTTTCAGATTAGTGGGAAATACATACGGATGAGATTTGAAACCATTTGCTCAGATATAAATTGAGCCCAGAATAAGCCAAAGCTTAAAAAAAAAATCAGAGCTTTCATTCCCCATGTTTCTATACCTTCCAAACTAGCCACACTATATTAGAGAAGGCCAGAGGATGGAGATAGGCTTTCACATCAGAGACATGGAATATCACTGAGGATGTGAAGTATCTCGCAGGCATTGATGTGACCTAGATGTCCCAAGTGGAATACAGCCAGCCCTCCCACATCAGCAAGTGCCTGTGTGGAGGTAAACACAGCTGCCATTATTCCAGCGTCTTAAACACTCACATCGGCTGCTCTCTGGTTACATTCAAATAGACACTTGGGTTTCGATTTTCCTTTTGGAAGACTTGTTTGCAGAATAGATCTATCAACTCAACGTGGTTGAGGCAGGACTGGTGGAGAGGGTGGGGGCACGGGATGGTAGGCATGTCAGAAGGAGATGTGCAAACAGAGAAACCTCAGCTCTTCAGCTCATTTTTCAGTTGTGACAGCCCTGTTGTATGCAAGAGGATTTGTGCTAGGTTTAATAGAATTTTTTTGACTTAAGAGAGCAGTTTCTGGATTCAGAGTCTAGGGATCAAAATTGGGCTAGCTGTGTGACCTTGGGCAAGTAATTTTATTTTCTAAGTTTGTTTTGTCTTTTATGAAATGAGGATAATAACCTCATAGTCACTGGGAGGCTTGAGACAATGCTAAAAGCATCCTTAGTACAGAGTCTGGTGATTTAATAAAGGTTTAATAAATGTTAGCCATATGATGCTTATTATTGCGAACAGCTAAGTGTTAACAGTTATTACTATGAATAGAAATTGATATATAGTAGGTGAATATGATGCATGAGAGCACAGGCCAATGTGATGAATTGCCCCATGAATAGTGCTACTTTGGGTCTTTCTCTGTGTGCAAGGGAGACTGACTCCATCTAAGGTGATTTCCCTCTGTCACTTCTGTGCTTGCCCACTCTGCTACCACTCTATAGCCCTCTCCAGGCTGGGTGTCATGCTCCCGCCTATAATCCCAGCACTTTGGGAGGCTGAGGCAGGAGGAACGCTTGAGCCCAAGTGTTTGAGATTGGCCTGGGCAGCATAAGGAAACATGGTTTCTACTAAAAATACAAATAAAATAAAAAGCTGAGCATGATGATGCACACTGCACTCCAGCCTGGGCAACAGAGCAAGATCCTGTCTCAAGAAAATCTTCTACAACAGTTTGGATGCAGTGAGCTCACTTTGAACTGGAGTCTGGGACAAGATCCTCAAAGAGAGGTGCCTGGAATTGAAGTCTGGGTGAGGCTAAGTTCTTATAAGGAGAGCCAGCTGTTTCTTCTTTCACAAAGAAAAGAACAAGAGGAAATGACTTTCTCAGTTCTCCATTCTACTCAAGCCAAATGGTAATAAACTTTTGGATGGAGTATCCAAGTCTAAGGTCAAAGCCTAAATCAGATTCTTGGGATCACTCATCCCAGCCACCCTGGCCACTTTCTATTTGTGGAGTTAGGCTATACCTGGGAAATACAAATTTATTTAAATAGTAGCCAATGCAAAGGATGCCTGGGAAGATAGATGTCTTATGTAACTGGGTCCTGTAATGCAGTCATTATAATAAGTGGCCTTTCCTTTTAAGACATGTCTTTGGAAATGGACTCAATTTTAAATGTTAGCAGATAGACTTTGAAGCAACTATGTGGAAGAACTTGGGACTGAGGAAGGTCAAGTTCTAAAACACAGTATCGGATCCAAAGACAGGTGTCTCCACATTTTAAGAATAAATCTGTCAGGCCAGGTATGGTGGCTCATCTGTAGTCCCAGTACTTTGGGCGGCCAAGATGGCAGATCACCTAAGGTAAGGAATTCGAGACCAGCTTGGCCAACATGGCAAAACCCTGTCTCTACTAAAAATATAGAAATTATCCAGCCATGGTGGCTTGTGCCTGTAATCCCAGCCAGCTACTTGGGAGGCTGAGGCAGGAGAATCCCTTGAACCTGGGAGACAGAGGTTGCAGTGAGCCAAGATTGCGCCACTGCACTCCAGCCTGGGAAACACAGCAAGACTCTATCTCAAAAAAAAATATATATATATCCATCATAAATATCAGAAATGTCACACCTCAATATAGTAGTAGCCAATGTTGCCCTATGCAAAAGTTAGGGCACATGGTTTGTTGATATGAAAACCGTCAATCAGAATATTTCCTATTGAAACTGCCTTAGGAAGCACAGCTTACACATTGTATTATCTCTCAAGGCAAGAAAATGACTTTTCAGAATAGACGTATTCTGGCTAAATCCCCAGGCATCACAATCTACAATTCTGGCTTCCCTAAATTTCCATCTGTCGGGCTGATTCT